ACCAATGTTAAAGAAGTACTTTACTATAAAGAAAGGAAATAAATTAGTCTAGTATATGAGGATTTTTTTTTTCAGTAGCAGTTTAGTACTTAGTACTGTATTCTACTGATACCTCACATGATTTTCCCCTTTCTAGGTTTGGCTTGTGACTTACATTCACCGTAGTGTCATAATTGATAAAAAAACAAATAATAAGCACTTTAATCTCTCTTAAGGAGCTGAGCACCTATATCCATGGTAACACACATGTAGTGTATCTTCAAGCAGTCATGGAGATCTTTGCATTCTAGTATATCATTACAACTATGTCTACTTTTTTTTCCAGACAGGTTTTATTATTATTTTTATTATTATTATTTAGTTTTTCTCAGAAATTTGCAACCCATTTCCAAATTATTTTACCTAACATCAGTAGCTGAAGTCTGATGATTAGGCTTCTTCATTCTTAAGTCATGAATTAAAATATGATAAACCTACAGTTTGATAAAGCATAATATAACAAAAAAGTATAATAAAATATATTAAAAATAAAAACAGAGAAAGTATGAGTGTAAGACTTGCCTGAAAGGGATATTAAGATGAAAACTCCTTCAGAGATAGAACAAATGGGAATCTGGATACAAAACAGACTAACTGTAGAAGGTACTGAATGCCCTGAAAAACAGAGCAAGAATACACAGATTGGAAGGAAAGACGAAGAATGTACAGTCAAACAGAAGGAAATTGTTGTAGAGTTTTTACCTTACTTTGATGTAATTCTAATAGTAAGAAGTTGTTTTATTAAAACATAATGCAAAAATTAGGAAATGGAAATAAGAAGAAATAAGCATATTTTATATATCATAGGGAGTAAATTGTATTCTTGGAATGGAGAAATGACAATTTTAATATCCACAGAATCCCCTTCAATACTTTAATGTTGTCCACTTCTCCCCCCCCCCCTTTTTTTGTATGGCAAATATGCCTGAATATGTCATCTGTATTTCATTCCAGCTTTTGTCATTGGGAATCTTGTTTAACCAGTTTTATCTGTTTTGTGCTCTGTTCCTGTTTACATAATCTCATTTTAGCTCTCTGAAGAGGGTTATCCACAGTTCAGTGAATTAAAGATCATATTATTATTAAAAGCATGTTTGTTAATGTTTCATATTCAACTTAAACGAGTACTTTATGAACTTCACTCAGTTCTGTTACCATGAGCTTAACTTCTATAAACTTAGTTAAAATAATTGCTAGAGCTTTACTGGCATCCCCACATATTAGATGTAACTATGTAAAGTCTTTATGCATGGGTACCAACAGCAGTCATTAATTAATGTAGTGTAATTAATTTTTATGAATCCTATATGAAGGACTATTAAAAGTAAATCATGTATGGGCTAAAGAGTATGCATCCACAGCTTAATCTGTATGTGTAGTTCTCTGTCTCTTTGATTTCTGATCTATACTTGCTAAACTCGGTGTTCTGTTAATTATTTTGCTTTCATCTCCTTTGCCATAACTCATTCTATCTCAATACATTTCCAAGCAGTTTTCAAATCTTTTTTTTTGAATGTGTGGGTCAGTGACCTGTGTCATAGGACACAGTGATCTCTGATACGGTGGTGTCCATGTATGTTTTAATAGTTGCTAGCCTTAATATTTTGTTAATTAACATAATTGTTAATTATATGAGCAGAGAATTGCCTCTGTTGCCTTCTCCTGTGATGGTGTCCTGAGATGGTCTGTCAAAACTGCACTGCAGTGCTCATTTCCTTTGCACATCTGTTCTTGTGATACTCTGATGTTCTTCTGATGTTTTTATATGTCATCCCAAAAGAAGGCATGGAGGTGACGTAGAAGGTGGAGTGTGTAGGGTAAGACTAACTGTGAAGAAAAGGAGAAAAGGGAAGAGATGTAGAGTTTTTTGGTAACTGAACTTTCTGTGATAATGTGCTGCAGGACATGGCATGTATTGCCAAAAGCTATTTGTAATTCAGAAGCTTAATTTGTACTTGTGCTTTGGAAGAGCTCTGCATGCAATTCTCATTATAGTGGAAATAAACTGAGGCATTTTTTCCTATCTAAACCAAGCCATGTAATTTTAGTCCTTCAGAGAACTGATATACTGCATGTTCATTGTCCACTCAAAGAACATATATATTCTAAATATGTGTTTTGACTTTGTTAAATTTCACTATTAAATTCAAGATACTCATATGGTTGGTTGTTTTTGTTTCCAGGACTTTTAATGAGGCCAATAGATTTTATTTGCAGCTTATTCTTAATATTACTTCATCTTTTATATATATTCACCTTGTGTCTTGCTAATTTAATGAAATAAATTGTGAGAAGGGAGAAATAATACCAGTTTAGTTAAGGTTTAGTGGGTATCTTAAGATGCATACAGCAAAAGACAGTTGGGACCAGATCTCTGGATATTACAAGTTCATTGTGGGCTGAACCTAATTTTAAACCTATTCTTTTAAAAATAAATGAATAAAAGTATGTATACTTAAGGAGGTTGTTTGGTTGTTTGTGGACCAAAGAATGGTTGGTGATGTAAGGAATCACTAGGTGCAGCATGGGTCAGCTGTAGTCTTCTACTGCACAGCCCTGTGTAGGCGTTTGGATGAAAAAGAACAGACAAATCAACATTCCTTTCCCTGAACTCCCCAGCATGCCTCAGCTGCTTTCACTCAGCTCCAAAAAGGAGAAATCAGACAAAAAGGAGCCACTGGTAGAATGCTTGTTAATTAGTAAAACTTTGTTGTGTGCAAACAGCAAAAATTAAAGGAATATATAAATGCTATTTAAAAGTATGTGAGAAGTTAAAGCATCAACAGAGATTTATTACAAGCTTTTAAACTTGTACATAGAAGAACAAGGGTGGTTTTTTTTTGCAGTATTTTTGAAAGACCAGGACTTGTCAGCCTTTTTATAATAAGTTCATTGACTCTGTAGACAGTCTGAGTGTTTTCTGAGTTACTGCTTTATCAAAGTGATTTGCATGTTTTTAAAGATGTTGCTCACTAGAAAACAGTCTAGTGAGGGCACGCTTGGTAAACACTCTTTTACATAACTTTACTTATCCATTTGGGGTGGGGGAAGTAATGAGGAAATAGAATAAAAAGTAACTGGAGAGAGATTTCATTTTTTTCATAAAATAAAGGAAAATATCTTCTTGCCAAACTACGCTGGAGGATATGTTTTCATTCAGATAAACATGATTTCACATGCAAAAATACTATGCCTCAGTAATTAATGTGCAATTACCTTACCAGATATCATAGAAACCAAAGATGCAGATGGATTTGGAAAAGATTAGGGAAATTACTGGATGATGGAGGGAAATACAATAAGATCTAGGAGGTAGTGAAAATGATGGAGAAAGGCTTGCTTTATAGTTTGTCTCTTGTTTTCTTTTTTCTTTTCTTTTTTTTTTTTCCCTACAGATAACTGCTTTAGCTGCTGCTGGAGAGGACACTTGTCTAGGTTGAGTCATATGGCTGTTCTGATGCTCTTATTTAAGGTCTTAATGTAGTAGACAGTGAGCCTATACGTGAGAACTGGATCTTTGTGCAGAATATTGTTTTATATCAGACCCTGAACATTCAGGAACAAGAAGCGCAAATTAAGTCAGATGATTTTTGTTTGTTTGTTTGTTTTGAGGGGACTGTGATTGACAAATCAATGAAGATCAGAAATAAAACACTTCAAGCCCTTCACATCACAGAATTAGACGCTTACAAGAACATACCTGCTCTGTGTAGTAGTGTAACAGTATAGACTCATACTTCCTCTCATGGTTCCCTCAGTTGTAACAAATCAAATGCATGACCTTTTAAATGTGTATGTGTATATTTTAGGGGAAGGTAAGTGGTGAAACTGAGGTGATAATTATCTCTGAGAAGTTGCATGCTGCAGCCAATTGCTATGCCAAAAACTCTGTAACCGCATGTGATGAACTATGATGAATAGTTCATTGTGTATAGTCATTGTACATAGTTCATTGTAATTTTGTCTTTGTGCTGTTCATTGATTTATTTCTAAAAAAAAAAATCCATGAATTGTATCTTTTTGAATACAAGCTGAACTCAGTAGCTGAACACCTTCTGTCCTGAGACGGTCACTGAAAAACAGGCAGAACTTGTGTTAAATAAACACAGCCCCAAGTGTGGGTTTTATGATATGCAGATATAGCTGCACCAATAACACTGTAAGGCACTTGTAGTGTGCTGTTTGCTCCTGCCTGTTCACTGTGTGCCCCGCTATGCTGGTGTTGACTGTTGTGGAACTATGTTTTTAAATGGATTGGGACATTTTTTCCTGGAACATTTCTTCCTGCCACTATGCCCCTTCTATTTTGGTCAAGATCATGTATATATGAGATATAATATATGACATTTTATGCATAATGTATATGCATGTAATATACATTATTATTTTTGTTGCCTAAGCTGAAGCCCTTTGCAGCTCCATAAATAGTTACATGGATGTAGAGTGCTGAGCATTATAGCCTGAAAAGGGCAATGGGACAAGACTGCCTAAATTTTGTGTTGTTGTGGAAGACACTTCTCATGAATATATTATTTCTTAAATGCCCATAAGGCTCTTGATATCTGTTAGGGTTTTTTTTTTAAATTACTTGTAAGTACTGAACAATGGGATGTGATAGTGAAAATCATTTAGGGCAATAAGGAAGATGATGTTAAAGTAAAAATATGTGATGGCAGGAATGAGACTGTGAAGTAATGTTACTTTAGCATGTAGCTGTGGCAGAGGAGAAACAAAATCTTCCTTGTGTGTTCTCAAATAGTAATTTTGAAAAATAAAAATACATGCTTGTAATACATACAGACTTTAATTTCAATTCTTTGTTGATGTTTTAATGTTATATCCTAACTATGTTTGCTGTGGTGCCGTGTGAAACTTCTGTTTGAAAATGTTGGAAAACAGTTGTGATTATTTTTGCCTTTTTAAAAATATTGCTTGTTGTTTTTGTTTTTTGTTTTTACTAGAATGCTGCTGTTCTTGCCAGTGAAAGAGATGCTATGGAAGAGTTACGAAATAGTATAGAAAATCAAGTCAAAAAGCTGACTGAGGCAAACACACAGTTGAAGAGAACAGTTGATGAACTAGAAACAAAAAATGAAGAGTTGCACAAACAATTTGATAATATGAAAGGAGAAGAAAATTCAATGAAGGAAAAATTAAAAAGATTTAAGGTAAAGTAGCAAAACAAGCCACTAATGTAGTCTCTTTTTTATTTGTGAAATGTATGTTTTATAAGAACAAAAACTTAAAATAAGGGTGAACATGCTTTATAACTCAGTTTATCTGTGAGCATTATTATGTAGAGAAGTGGAAATTAGAGGTGTAAGACAGTCAGTGAATGTTGCTAAATATTTGCCGTTTTGTATGCACTTCTTAAGGAATTCTGGTTCTTTGTGGGTGTCAAAGTGGAGGCTGTGCCTCTATTTCTAAATATATCGGATCATATATTTGCAGGATGAAAATCAACAATTAGAAGCAGCATTGAAATGTGCTGAAAAAGAGGCAAAAGAATTGATGGCATTAAAAACATCTTTAGAAAGCCGACTAGAAAATATGCAGGTAAGAAAAAGATCAGTTGTTGGGAATATTTAAATTTTAAATTCACTGTTTACCTGAGTCACCTTGTTTTCTACAGAGTAGCATCTCATTCTTCTTGAAGTACACTTTGTTTCTAAGTGCCAGAATCATTGCACTGTTAAAATACTTCATCAATCCCATAGTCTCATCTAACCACATTTATTCTCTTGCTAGATCTTTTTTATTAGTAGTTTTTTCTATCAAAATTTCAGGGAGAAAAATCACAAAATAAACTATCAAGTTCTTGCAAATCTTTTTCAATATTTTGAATGATCATTCAGCTCTGGTTATATTGTATTGTATTTTCTGTATTAGAACATCAGTTTAGGACTGTATATAGTCTGCTGTTTCAGGAAGTAAAATACATCTTAAAATCTATGAAATGTTGAGAATATTTTTGAAAGTTAATGAGAATTCTCTTGATAAAGAAAATAGTATGATTATTATGAAACTTAACCACAGCAATATGGTACTGCAGTATATTAAAAAACATTGGCTGTACCAATGTGCCACATCCTATACAATATCTCAGATTTCAACTGAAAAATGTAATTTACCAGAACGAGTGGCTGGAAGGCAACAAGATCTTTGAAGGTCCAGGAAACGCTTAGTTCTGTGATTCTTAGGATACACCAGCTGGCTCAGAATACAGTGATGCATTACAAAAAGGACGTGGGCATGAGAGTTTTTAACAGATGTGAGAAGATCAGAGCACAAATCCCCTGAATTTTCAATATCCATGATACTCTGAAACAACGTTACTGCTGTCAGTTTATTGTTAATCCAACTAAAAGCAAACTAACTGAAACTGAAATTCTTCCTCGGAACGTATCTAGGGTTACATTTTCTATTAGAATAATTATGAGTAAAACTTCACAAACCTCTCTAATTTTTAGTAATGTTCTTAGGATTTGTTTTCTCATCCTTCTCTGTAATAAACAGTGAAAATAAAAGCGAGGATGGAAATGGGAAGATAAGATATGTGAAAAATGCAAGTTCCTTTTCAGGACTATGACTCAAAGGAGAAAAAGCTAGATTTCATTCTCAAGAGTCTCTATCTTCTACATATCTGAAATTCAAGCAAAAATTAGCAAGACCTGAGGGAAATTAAGGTGACACATTGCTTGCATTAAGCCTACTCTATTTATTATTTCAATATTGTGTTTATTCACATCTATTATTAAGTTGGTAATTGCCCTATTTAATAGAATAAATTTCTTCTCACGGTGGTAATTGATTTTTTTCGTTGATAAATGTGAACTAGAGAGTTGAACCTGCTTATCTCCGATGTTCAATTGCCTTTTCAGTGTGCTACAAATGCAAAAACTTCCCGCTGGTGACATTATTCTGCCATAGTATGTTTCACTCATCTATGTCTAGGCAGTTTGTTTCTCAAGGATGTGTAAACAAACAGTAAAGGTAGATGATCTGTGAAAAGCTGGGAAGGGAAGGGAGGTTTTTATAGCCTGCTCAAATATGGCATGTTAGCAGGGTCCCAGGAATTCAGCAGCTTTCAGAACTGAAATGCTGGAGTTTCAATCTTTTCAAGGTTCTAAAAATCCTTTGGTGCTATCACGTAATTGTCACAGAATTAGGCTTTGCAAAATAACATCTATTAGCCCCCAGCATGTTTTAGGATTATGTGTACACTCCTTGTGCACCTGCCATTAACCACTGTTTGTGTTAGAGATGTCTTTATTAGTAGGTTATAAGGATTTAAGGAAAAACTAACCTAACAAAACTCTTTTAACAATTGATCATATTTTTTTTCCCTCTTCTCTTGTAAGAATACAAATTTTATAAATATATATTTATGTTATAAGAACAGGAATTTTTTTGTGTTTCTGAATTACCTTGAATGAAGAAACATGAATGTTTGCATATTTACAGCTTTTTGATGTGTAGTAAAGTACCATCCACATTAGATATTCAACAAATCTTTAAATTCATAATAATGAAATTGAAATTTAAGACTATATTTTGCAATGCTTTTTAAATTTTATTTTGATTTTAATTATTTACATTTTTCTGTTGGAGCAGCCTTAACTGTCCATAACCTGGTGGTAGTCAGTTTAATGGTGCTTCTCAGACTTCATAAAAACAAACTCTTCCTTAATCTTGTAGTTTCTGTTTACATTAGGGCCATTAAGATATTTTACTATGAAGGAAGGAGGAAGAAGTAAGGATTCCAACATAGAGATGTAAGATAACCTGATTTTCTTTTATTAGAGTGAACTAGTGACACTCATTCTGCTAATGAACAGTATTTAGAAACTGGAGGGTGGTAAATTCTTAAACACACATCCTGAATATGATAACAGAAATATATGGCCTGTTTGCATATGCTCCTGGTAGATGAGCATACAGCGTGGCTCTGCAAATCATTCAAAATGCAATCTAGATATGAAGGTATGTTTTGAAGATTAATGCCAAATCTTTAGGAAGGGAATTTCTGTGCCAGATGCAGCAAAGTTCTGTTTGTGTGTCTGTCAGAACAAGACATCCTTTTGATGAGAGTGTGTAAGTCCTATAAAAGCACAGCAATGGAAAAAAAACCCACAATTATTATTTCTCACTCACAGTAGAACTGTTGTATTTTATTTTATTATTTTATTATTTTATTTCCTAGGAAAGCAAATTTTGTTGTTGAGAATACTTTTAAGGGAAATCTGAAGTGGAAGGTATAGGAAAATTTGAAACCAGAAATGAGTATTAAAACTTGTGCAGGAGGTTGGACTTGCCAACATGCATGCAATTGCAGAAGAATGTGTGTTTGCATATAATGGAACCATGAAAAGGGAGTATGTTTTTTCCAATGAATGTTGCAGCGGTGTTCCAGAATATACAGCAGTGATAAAGTATCACTAAAATATTGTTTATCCTACACTGCCTAGCAAATTGTAACTCCATTAACTTTTTTTAAGCTATTTAATTTGTGTTAATTTTGCAAAAACTGGTAGCATTATTGCTGCACAGGTGTACTATATAAAATATCTTTAAGTTGTTAGAAAAGAGGCTGAACATTTAATTGTGTCTTTTAATCTACTGCAGGAAAACATCCATTGTATTTCACAGGAACGGCAGCAGTTAACCCAACAGTTAAAAGATGAAACTCACCAGAAGGAACAGCTGGAGAAGATAAAGAATGAAATGGAAAATGAACGATGGCAACTGAACAAGACGGTTGAAAAGTTACAGGAGGAGGTATGAGTTCACTCAGAAGAGGCTGCAGGGGTCTAAAAATTTAATAGGCAGAAGCAAATGAGCTGCCAAATTGCAAACATTAAAAAAAAAAGTAAAAATAAATGAAATGCAAACTTTACTAGTAGTTTCTTCCACTTAGTGACTATTAATACAAGCTCTCAGGGCTGGAACTGTAGTTGGAACACTGCTATCTCAGAACGCTTTTGTAAAATAGCTTTGTTAAAACGAAATCCTAGATTTGAGTTTAGTTCCATTTTACTGCAGACCAAAGCAAGTCCTTGATCAGCTCTGTTTCAAAGAATGACAACTGATTTTCAAATTGCTTTTGCATTAGAGCCTTAGTTGGCCTGTGTGTAAGCGATACAATTTAATATTCATATACTGAAGCGTTACTACATTTCACTGTAAATGTTTGATAAATATACTGTTTGGGAACTCTGGTTTGAACACTGAAGCTTGAGACAAACATCTTTTGCTGGTTTAATCGTGACAGAACCTTTCATAACACTGTTAGGGAGAGAAAATATCTGTCCATTTTTCCCAGATGGCTGAAATGGTGGAGGCCTCAAGAACATCTACTGTGGAGCTTCAGAACCAGCTTGATGAATATAAGGAGAAAAACCGCAGAGAACTTGCAGATGTGCAGAGACAATTGAAAGAAAAAAACCTTGAGTTAGAAAAATCACGTCTGACAACCATTAGAATGCAGGATGAGGTAATGACTCATAACTTCAGTGATTAATTTTAACTTTTGACCTAGAATTATGTTCATATAGTTTACCAATCAATGCATGTTGGCTACCACTCTTTGGTTTTCTTATTTCATCAGGAGAGACTGATCTCCATCAGTGTACTTTTGTGTTTCATTTTTTATTAGGATAATCAATGTAATAGTGTGAGGGAAATGATTTCTTGAACAGATAGATAACTGCAGTGTTTCAGAAATGAATGTATCTTAATGATATGGCAAGGATTCCATTCATGACCTGCTGCTCTTTTAGTGTCTGCAGCTGAGTAAATTCAGAATGTAGAAATATTTTTGATTTAGGAAGAAAAACCACAGCTATTTATAAAAAACAAAACAAAAAAAACACAACCCAAGTCTGACTCTATTTTAAATGAACTGAATTATGTTCTTCTCTTCCTTTACATGAGCCAAATAGCAGATTTAAATGACATAGATGTATGGGGAACCAGCCACATTCTTGAAGTTTTTATCTTTTAGCATGTAGATTTTGTTACAAAATCAATCCAGTCTTTTAAAGATCCGCTTATACTTGTACTGCAATTGGAAAAGCTGTGAGAGTAAACTGGTCACAGATTTCAGTTGTTTTTTTTTCCCCCCATGTTCAGAGTATTTTAAGAGTTTAATTTTTTTGTTTATTAAAAACTTCTCTTGTACTGTACTCTCCCCTTAACAAACTTGTTTGAAATGCAATTATGAAAAATATTTCTGGTCTTTCTTGTTACAAGGACAGGACACAAGTACAAAGGAAAAAGGTGATAACAAAATTAATCCTTCATTTGACAAAGAGATAATAAAACACTAGGAGAACAAAATACTTCTGATTGATGAGGTGTAAGCAAAAGGAATTATAATAGTTTCAACTAAACACCCTCTTGCTACTTTCACGTATCATACAGGTTTTAGCCAATTTCATTGAATACATGCTCTTTTTAGAGTAGAAAACTTTTTTCCTCGGCACCTAGCTGTGATGCACGTAACATGTGGATGTGTTAGCAATTGTGGCATCAGTATTATGCTGTAATCTCATGGTGCTTCATAAAGAACCAAGTACATAATTATTTATAAGCTGGGATATTGGCAGTCTAAAAAGAAAAGGAACAGTACTGCAAAAATACCAAAGATATAAGCATTTACAAAATTGTAGAAACTTGGCTTGCTACAGCTGGATAAAAATAAATAAAAATACAGTTGTGTGTAATTATAACTGTAAAACCTTTAGTTTGAAGCATATCTTCAGATGTGATATTTAATCCATTTTCTTTGTGCCATCTTGTGGATAAATCAAAAATTACTGTGAGAAGCATATAACTTGATGCAATTATATTAATGCTTCCAAAACTGTTGTGATTTTAGTCAGGCTTTTTTAATCATACATCCTGTATAGGAAATGTAAAATAAAGTGTACTATCGTAATCTTTTTGTTTCAGATGCGTCTCCTGGAAGAAAACTTGAGGGATCACCAGAGAGCTCAAGATGAAGCAATAACAAAAACTCAGTTGTTAGAACAGACTGTGAAAGGCTTGGAGTATGAACTGGAGGCCAAAAACCACCTGAAAGATGACCGAGCAAGACAAATCAAATTAATGGAGGTAAAATACTTTATTAGAGTTTATTAAAGTAATATTATTATTTCATATGAATGTATGAGGGAACAAAATAAGTTTGTTGTTGAAAATTTGTAAATATTATTCATCAAGTGTATGTGTTAGCTTTTTTCCAGAGACATTTTCCCTTTTCAAGCCTATTCTTTCAAACAGTTTGAGTCCTTGAAGTTTAAGGAGGAATGGCTGGGTAGCAATCCCAAAGACGATGAAAGGATGGGAGAACAGTATGCTGAAAATAGGTTTTTTTGTTTTTTTTTTTCTTTTGTTCCATTTAGGACAAATTATCTCACCTGGAACTTGAGCTTGATGAAGAAAAGAATAATTCGGATTTGTTGTCTGAGAGGATCAGTAGATGCAGAGAACAGGTACTCATTTTGTTCAAGGTTTATAGCCATGATTGAACATACGCCTCCAGATCACCACAGACTATTTTTTTTCCTCCTATTTTTATAACTGGAAAAAAAGAAACATAATTGAGTTACTAATTGCCCAGGATTATCTGCAAAAGTTACTCCATATTGCAGACAGAACTCAAACTTTCCTCATTTCTGTTCTTGTGAATATTCATTTTCTGTATGTTCCTAGAGAAGGTAGCCTTTTACCCGCAAAATTTTTGGAATAGAGGTCAGTTAGAGATATCATTTAGAGCATTGTAAAATAGAAGGAAAAATGTAAGTTGATCCTGACAATTCTTGAAGTTTAAAACTTTAGAGCTTGAAAAAATTTACTTGGATTTCTAATGAATGTAGGTATAAAATGTGACTAATATGTGGAATTCTGATCTATACTGTGGCAACACACATAGATGATTGTATGTTCTGTTAATCTATATGCTAGTTTCAAAAGAAGAACTGCAGTAATGAAGTAGGCCATCATATGAGAAACCTTATTGCAAAGAAGGCAGAGCTTTGGAACTTAATTAGTGAAGTTAGCTGAACTGAAGATGCTGGCCAGTTTCAGCAGAGAAGCAGCTTTATTTTAATCCCAAGTGTTAAAACTGATTAAGGTATACTGAAGAAAAGATGGGTAACAAAAAGTTTTTCCACATAAAAACGTCAGTAATTAGTTTGGGAAATGTTAGGTCAATAAATAAAATACCCAAAAAGAGAGGAGAAAGGATTTATTAGCATAGTTACGTCGCGTGGGGCAGAAAACTTAAAGATACTGTAAGATTTGCCAAGGTAACTTCAAACAAATGACAAAGAGGTTCTTGACTGTCTAAAAAGAAGTTGTGAGAATTGTATGTTTAATTATAAATCAATATAAAAAGTAATCCAGATACACTCTCTGAAATTAGTGAGTATTTTACCCATGTGTTTATTAAGGTCAGTGGCTGGGGGGAGGTGGAATGAGCTGACAGAAATGAGGCCATTGAGCAGGATATCACCAAGTCTAAGAAGATTTAAAAGTTCATTATTCTGAAGAAAGACCTTAATAATAACATTTGAGATTTCTGAATGATATAATGTGAAATTATAGGTCCTGTAACAAAGATCTGTAATAAGTCAGAAAAACAGAGAGTACTTCCTGAGGAAAAAGTAACTAGAGCATCCGCAGGTCCAGTAGTCAGTAGTATGCAAGTTGTTGTTTAGTTCACAGAGAGGAATTTGTTCTTGTGGATGTCTTACAGTGTCAAGGTGTAGAAAAATGTTCTTTGCCTTAGTTTTACATTCTGAAAAATATGAAACTGATTCGTGATTCATTACAGCTTGTCTACTACTGTAGTTTCACATTAAGCATCAAATCTCATTAGTAGTTTCCTAGAAGTCTGGGAAACAATTTACTCTGAGATATACAACCCATGATTTTCTGCTCTAATTTCTTTCCCTACGAAAAAGATTTGCTGACATTCTTTAGAATAGCTTTAATTTCAGAGGGAGAATAGAAAATAAAATCATTGTCTTAGTTTCAGCTGGGATTAAATTGTTTTCTTCAGAGTGTCTGGTATGATGCCATGTTTTGGTTCTAGGAGAAAAACAATGTTGATAACACATGAATGTTTATAGTTGCTGCTAAGCAGTGTTGTACAGAACTGAGACCATTCTCAGTAAGGAGATGGGAGGGAACAGAATTAGGACTGTCTTAAACTGGCCAAAGGGATACGCTACGCTATATGACATCATGCAGAAGGAGTTTTGAAGGGGATGGGTGTTTGTCTTTCTCTCTTCCTCTGCTCAGGGAGCCAGCTGGACACTGGTTGGGAGGGGTGGTGAGCAATTGTGTTTGTCATAATTATTATTCTTTTCCTTTTCTCTATCTTAGTAAATTGTTTTATCTCAACCTACGACTTCTACTGTTTTTTTGTTCTCTCCCCATCCCACTGGGAAGCTGGGAGGAGTGGGAGAAGGCTTTGTGGTGCTTAGCACTTGCTAGGTGAAACCACATCATAAATTTAAATAAGTGTGCTAGCGTTTGGCTTCCATTCCATGCATCGTCAAAACACCAGGGCTCCAGTACTACTGCTTGGGACACAAGTTATTGAGATTCTGTTTGATTGTGGTATAGTTTTTTGCTGTTATTTTGTTAATATTCTACATACTCTCAGTGAATGAGGGAGTGAAACAGAACATGAGGGACCCATAATAATCTGAGGTCATGCTATTGTTAAAGTAGAAAGCCTTTAATACTGGAGTCTATGCCTGTGTTATAAGCCTGAATTAAAAACAAACACTGGTAGCTGCACAAGTGAGTACTATAGTAACTTAATTTGCTAGCTAAATAGAAACCTAAAATATAGATGGGTGACAAGAAAAGAAAAGAAAAAAAGTTTTATAAACAACAACAAGAAAGTTTATTTTGAGGTCTGAAGTTTCTCATTTCATGCATGAGTTACAGAATTTGCTTTGATTTGTTTTTATGCCAGAATGACTAAGTGGTCAAATTACTAAAGGGTATTTCAGGGTCTGCTAAGCATTTATAATGACTTGAGAAATGATAATAGATTTGTTTTGGTAATATCTGTGTTTCTTTAATTTTTTGTTATTATTTTAAATGTGTTATTTTAATATACTGATATAGAAGTATAATATTCAAATTACTAGTAAAACCATATTGAAATCACTACATGTGTTTTACATGAATTACATGTATTTTACATTTGGATAATCGTTGGCATGGCTCATGGTTCACATTTCATTTACTGTGAAACGTTATTCCCTTTTTAACTTAAATACCCTTTTGAATCTGTTAATGGTAGCATCAGACGTTTCCATCTTCCCTAACTCATTCTCAAGAAATACCATGACAATATGGAAATTTTCAATTTTGCTGGCTTATTTAATTTTTTTAAAAAATTCTGTGCTTCACTTAAAATTAATCTACTCTGAGTTTATCATACTGTCTTTCTGCTTTGGCACTAATTTCTGAAGCACAAAGAATCCCATTCTTCAGCTATGATCTGTTTTAGTGTACATAGATAGAAAAGCGCTTGTGAGAAAGAAGTGGTTTCCATCTACTTCTGAAAATAAGTTTTACTAAAAATTCTCTGGAGTGAATGGCAGTCACTTTGCAAACTTCTGCGTAGATTTAGCTTGAAGGTGAACTTTGAAATGACTTTATTCCCTTATAGTGATACTTGTGATTCACTAATTCCTAATTCCTGTTCCAATAGACTTGCTCAATTATCCCAAAATGAGACAGAGAAGTCTTTAGCTTTGTTTATTTGGATAAAGGGAGAGTCCATGAAGGCTGCTCCCCTGTAGTGGTTCTCACAGTATCAGGAACACACTGTTCCTCCTCCTTTCTTCATTGGATGAAGTACTAAGAGATTGCAGACTTCCTTGTCCACCTAATACAGGTTCTCCTTTGTATGTGACGTCTATCATACATTGCATGTACAATTAACCCCAACTTTATGCTGCCCATACTCTTAATAGAGTAATATTAATTACTCTATTAAGCCTCCTCAGCAAGTCTGAAGTTTGTAAGTTCGTGTTGTCAGTCTACCTTTGAAGCTTCTTTGGGTCTCAACTGGTTGTTCTTTCTGATAAATCTTATTTAGTGAGAGTTACAAGTGGTTTCTCTTTCCGATAAGCCTTATTTGCTGAGAGTGCAGTTATTCAAGTGGAGAAGAATTTGCAAGCCTTTACCAAATTTGCAAGGATGTTGAATACCTGGTTTGCAAGCCCCCTTTCTCTCACTAGTATATAAAAAGACAGCAGAGGCAGTAAAAGTCATCAATACTTCAGTGTCCTTATAATTGCAAAACTATTTTTATCTTTAATACAGCCGTTATGTTTTAAAAAGATCATAACAGCAAAAACAAAATCTTGATCCTCTGTTGCATTTTCATCATCTTTGTAGAAGTTGGTTTTGACTTAATCATTGGACCTTTTCATTACTAATGAAAGCATTGGATCCAGGTTGAATGGGGCTTTGAGCAACCTGGTCTAGAGGGAGGTGTCCTTGCCTATAGCAGAAGGGTTGGAACTACGTGATCTTAAAGGTCCAACCCAAACCATTATATGATTCCATGATCCTTTCTTTGCTGCTGATCTGTGTTGTCTCTTCTACACAGCATAGAGCTTACCTATCACCTCCTTATCACATCATTTTCTTCTTCAGTTATTAACACATGAATGCCTTTCTTAATTTGATCCATAAAGTTATCTTTGTTGCAAATTCCTTAATTCTCAACTACCTTGTACAAATGGGGTTGCTTCTCTGTACATATGTTGCTTCATCTTGTTCTGGTTTTCTGAGCAGTGGTATTGCAGTGGTATTATTGTTCCCCCTCTACTCTGCTCTTGTGAGGCCCCATCTGCAGTACTGCGTCCAAGTCTGGAGCCCCCAATACAACAAAGACAGGGAGCTGTTGGAGAGGGTCCAGAGGAGGGCCACAAAGATGATCAGGGGACTGGAGCACCTCCCCTATGAAGACAGGCTGAAGGAGCTGGGCTTGTTCAGCCTGGAGAAAAGAAGGCTGCAGGGTGACCTCATTGCAGCCTTTCAGTACCTAAAGGGAGCCTACAAGCAGGAGGGGAATCAACTCTTTGAAAGGGGAAATGGTTTTAAGCTGAGGGAAGGGAGATTTAGGTTGGACGTCAGGGGGAAATTCTTTCCAGAGAGAGTGGTGAGGTACTGGAACAGGCTGCCCAGAGAGGTTGTGGATGCCCCATCCCTGGAGGTGTTCAAGGCCAGATTGGATGGGGCCCTGGGCAGTTTGGTCTAGCATTAGGTGGGATGGTTGGTGGCCCTGCGTGTGGCAGGGGGGTTGGAGATTCATGATCCTTGAGGTCCCTTCCAACCCTGGCAATTCTGTGATTCTGTGGTTGCCTTGGATAAAGTATGTGTTGATATATATTTCTATATTGTACACTCAGACTTGCTTCTGGTTGATTTTTTTGTTGATATGAGAATGGAGGATGATTTAATAACCTAAACTTTGTAATAGGTTTTTAGAATTGCTTTTTATTGTAGTTTTGTGTGTGTTTTCCTCAAATCATAGAATCTTAAAACAGTTCACGTTGGAAGGGACCGTTATTGATCATCTAGTCCAGTCCTACTACTATGCTCAATTAGCTCCTATGAGAATTTTTTATCTCAGAGGTTTTCATGTTTTTGTTTGTTTCTTTGCATACATACCAACTCTAATTACCAAAGAACCCAAGGGAAAGTGGACAAACAAAACAAACAAACAGACAAAAACTAGCCCACATCCAGAGCTTGTGCTGAAACTGATAAATCATTGTAAAGCTGAAATACCAATTACCCCTTAGCTGTGAGTGGCATAGGTTAGGACTGTCATTCACGGTTTCTCAAAAATCACTTTTAAGTTTATTCATTACCTTTGAAAAGTAATAGTGTAGAATTCAAATTCTCTGTCTAAATAGCTCAAAACGTGAGGACTTCTCCAACTTCTAAGATTATTAAAGAAGGATGGATCATATCTTATTAGATATTTTAATTGATAAGGTACTAGTGAGAGCACTCAGCTGCCTTTTGAGTTTGAAGGGAGCAAGGACAAAGGACAAGGGTGCATCTTACTAAGTGATGTTTTTTGTCCACAAACAGGTGAAACCAAATACCTCTTGCAATTTTGTTTTTTGTGAGCATATTTGAAAAATACTTGAGATAACCTCATCAATGTTTCTGTCCTGTGAAAATGCACATGTGAGTTGCTGACTTAAGTGTTTTTTTTTCCCCAGGAAGTTTTCATTGCAATTTTAAAATAAATACTGAAAGATAAAGTTGCATTGATGAGTCTTTCGCTTCCTTTTAGTAAAGCATTCCAAATGGGTAGCTAGCTGATACCAGGAGTGGAAAAGGCAAACAAATGAAAATGTGGAAACAAAGGTTGCTTTTCTCTTATGAAAAATTGAGGGTTTTTTCTTGCTTTTATAGCTTTTTGTTGTTGTTGTTGTTAAACATCTCTTATATATTTGAGAACTATGTTTATATGCTAGGTTTATTTTGTTTGCATATATATGCACATGCCTGCATACACATGTATGTGCATATATCTCACATATGTATACATGTGTATGCTTATGCATGGAAAAATCAATAATATGTGTGTATATGGAAAAAAGGTCTAATGCGAGTGATTACATGGAAGTGTGAATGTATATGCATATACAAAAAATAGAATCACTAATATAAAAGACAACTGCACATACTCATTAAAACTTTCAGAATGTGTTTGTGCTCTCTCCCAGAAGTGAAAAGCTGGATTGTATTGACACAACTCAGAGAGGTTGAGGTTCTTTTTGAAATCCTTTAAACTGAGTGGGCTTATGTCATCTGAAAGTTACTTGGTCCAGTAGTTGCCACCTTAAAGATACTTCCATACGGCACAGGAGAGAAAAGATTTAAGTAATCTCTCATTAAATAACTTCGGTGATTTTTAATTAGTGTATTTAAAGAAAAAAAGAAGTCAGTGTCTGAAAGCTTCTATGCAACAAGAAAAGCTTTAAGGAAATTAATCAGCTGTTAGCAGAGCACAGCCATGTGCTAACATTTGTAGTCCAGTAACTGGTATGACCTTAGTTTTCAGGAATGCATCCTACTGTTCTGAAAAGATTCTGTGACATAACATATGCAACTGCATGTATTACCATCACTGTGTGTATTCATATATTGCTTTGAAAGCTGTAGAAACAAATGGCATTTTTTGAACATGTGATTAACTGAAAATACAGCTTTTAATATTACAGTGTGGTTTTAAAAAAAAAAAGGCTTAAGGTAATGTTTTGTGTACTCTGCTGGTTTAACCTTCACATTTTCAGTGTTGCTGTGCTTTTTTTTTAACGCAAGAATTCGAAATAGCTTTGACAGACCTTTAGTGGAATAAATCTGAAATTTAGTGTTGTACAGCTGATACTGTGTTTCTGCAAGTTAATACATAACTGTTGTAAAGCAGGATAGAAAACTAGAAGCTTCAATAACAGCTGTCAGGCAGTTCAGAGTTTCTCTCTGATCTTCAGAATATTTTTTTCAGTCAAGTAGTAAGATAAAGCAAAAAATGTATTCTTATGTTGATTCTATATGGAGCAGTTAGTTTTTCAGCATTTTACATATGGAGAATACATTTTTCTGGTGGCTATTGAATGTGCAACTGAAATTTTAACAGACATTTTTACAGAAGTGCTTTTTAAAACAAACAAGAGTTAACATACAGATCCAGAAGTCACTGCCCTCTTGCTATATGCAAGACATAAAATTGACCATTTTCATGGAGGGAAAGATGTTCACATCTAGTATACATCAAGACTTGTTGAAAAAGAAATTTTTTTTCACAGGTATAGAAAACTGTAACAGTCTGTAGGGTTTCTCTGTAGATGCAATTTTTATGTGCTTAGCAAGGTCAAACTTTAAAGTAGACTATCCAGCAGCCTAAAGGTAAGGTGCTTGTTCAGCTTGTCAGACTTAAGTATGAGGAAAACAATGATAGAAGGTGTTTGAAGACTGATGTGACACTCTGGAATTCAGCTATTTACCACATGATATATCTCTAATGTAGTATTTTAAGAGTTTATTGCCCTGCTACAGAATAAATATAAGTATATATCTCAAAAGAGAAAATTTTGTACAAGATTGTAATTGTAAACTTCATTTGGAATTATGCATATGTCTTGAGTTCTAAGAAAGAGCAAGTTTTTTCTCATTTTGTAGAAATAAGTACTTTATTTATGCACATGTATATATGTACATACACATATATATGTATATGCAGACAGTATCATACAGGCATATAAATCAAATCTTTAAAATTCCTGTTTTTTCTTTCTTCAATAGATTGAACAAATGAGAACAGAACTACTTCAGGAAAGAGCTACAAAGCAAGATTTGGAATGTGACAAGATTTCTTTGGAAAGACAGGTAATTGCAGCTATCATACGATCGTATTAACAAGATAATAGGCCAGGTGACTCTTTTCATTAGGAAATTCTAATAAGTCTGTAAGGAATTCAGTATTCAGTAGCTAGCTCTATCCCACTAGAATACACTGCTGGACGTTTGTGTTACTAAGAACAGATTATGAACTATGAGCATCTTAATACTGATACTCAGAAGAAAATATTGTAATATTATAATATACTATAATTATTATATTATGTAAATCCTTTGACTGCTTTTGGAGGAGCTGTCCTTCAAAGTCTTTGACAGTATTAAAGGAACACTGTTGATCTTGATCATTGTTTTAAGCAATTACAACTCAGTACTTTTAAGATATGCTTAAAGGTATCTTTTTAAAGATACTCTTAAAGACAAGCGCAAACAAGTGAAAAAGTAATATCTTCAAGAAAAGATACAGATTTGACAGAAAACTTCTACTCTTTGTCTGGGAGGGAATACAGTTCATATGTTTCAATGGCTGTGATAGAAAGCATATTACAATTATTTTCTAGCTTTTAGCAGTATGTTTATTCTGCAGCTCAGCAGTCTTCAGAAGGAAGGTACTAATAGCCCCCAGCTGAAACAGAGAGGAAAGGTATCTTCATAAATCATAGTCTTAGAGACAGTCTCAGGAACAAAATACAAACTGTAATGGGGATTTAGAGAATATGTTTATACCAGATGCCAAATTTGGTGGTTTTAATTCTGTGAAAGTTAATTACATGTATTTGATTATTATTTTTTTTTTTATTAATTGTATTAGAAGAAAGAATGCCATCTAGTGGTATACCTTATGTATCCAATTTATATTGTTTTAAGATTGTATTTGTTAATATGAGCATGTATGTAGTAATCATGTGTGTCCAAACATAGAACAAGGACTTAAAGAGCCGAATCCTTCACCTGGAAGGTTCTTACCGATCCAGTAAAGAAGGACTTGTTGCTCAAATGGAAGCAAGGATCACAGAGCTAGAAGAACGACTTGAAAATGAAGAGAGGTAAAGCTGATTATGTTAAGATTAAAACATATATGTTTGTATATGTCTTCTTGCTTATATTGAATATCTAATATAACAACTTAGTTTTTGATTATTTTTTTTCACAAGCACTGATTAACTGCTTGCTGTTATATGTAGGTGTTGCAAGTTTAATTTTGAACAAAATCATGTAAGAAATTGCATTATATGTTTAAAACTGAGCACAGTGCTAACATAGTTACATACCTCATTATTTTAGCAATGTCTAGTATCAGTTACAAGCTTAGAAATACTAGCTGTAGTTGAACATTGCAGTTTTCATGTTCACTTCATTGTTTAAGCTTGAAGAAAATTTTATATAAATATTGCATGGGATCGATTAAAAAAAAAAAAAGCAGTTACTAGTATTTATTTACCTTTAAGATACTGCTAAGGAATTAGCAGGATTTGAAAGTACTATAGTTCCTTTTCTTACAGGCTTGTCCTATGTTTGTTTTTCCAGGGATAGGGCTAATTTCCAACTAAGTAACCGCAGACTTGAGAGAAAAGTGAAGGAGTTAATGTTGCAAGTAGATGATGAACATCTCTCATTGACTGACCAGAAGGATCAGGTAGAGGAAAAAACAAATGTACTAGTAGTCTTAATATCAAATATTTACATGAATCATCACATGTACAAAACATTTCTAAGGAATGTAGTAGGTACTGATTACTTGGTTCTTCATGAAGTCGCATTTAATGAGATTTGCAGTTCCCATTGTCATCATGTTCATTTCATTAATATTTATGATTTAATAATAGTAAATTATTACCAGTTTCTAAACTTATGAAAATGAAGCACTTGTAGCAGCATTGCTGTGATTACAAAATAAAGCAAATATCAGTCAGTATATGGTCTATATATGATATAATGCAGCAAGAATAGCATATTCTATCTTGTAAAATTTTATTTGAAGAAGCTACTTATTGTTAAGGCAAGTGTTAAGCATATATTGATATTCTCATAGCAATGTGTTTTGCCATTTCTGTGGTCTTCATTGATTCCTTGCTTAAAACATGTTTTATTTCAGTACATGGGTCAATTAGTTAATATTATGCCTAAAGAGTAAACAGTGAGTTTAAAAATTCAGACATCTATCATGGGAACAAATTCTTTTGGGTTAAACCAAAAAAATACATATTTTATAGTATCTGTCAGGTAAAGTTGCTTAGCTATCATGTTGTCTTACTCTATCAAAGCTATGTTGTTTGTTTGTTTGTTTGTTTTCCTTAAAAATTTTCTTTGATCTCTTTTCTCAGAGTTTAATGCTAGCTTTTGAGTATTTGTGAAGCGTAGTATTACAGTGTCATTACACTGGCAAAGTTGTCTTTATTCTCCCTCTCATAGATGCTGGAAGAATAAAGTTCCTTTATTAAAATAGTCCTCTAATCAGCTGACATGTAAATATTTCAGTTGAGTTTGCGTTTGAAAGCAATGAAGCGTCAAGTTGAAGAAGCTGAGGAAGAAATAGACAGACTGGAAAGTGCTAAAAAGAAACTCCAGAGAGACCTAGAAGAGCAACTAGATATGAATGAACAATTGCAAGGACAGCTTAATGCTGCAAAAAAGGAATTAAGGTAGGATAATGTGTCAGACCTTACAATGATGTGTCACTTGCCACTCAGTGTTGATTACTTGCTCCATTAGTCCCTCAGTTGGAGGCTTCCTGTAATAAACGTGAAGTTTTGTCATAAGCAGACATTTGAGAGGCAGAGCTGTGAAACTTCGTTTTCTTCCTCTGTAGATTTTCTTCATCATCCTTCAGAATGCTCTAGCAGCCCCTGTCTAGTGAATAATCACTGAAGTGGGGGATGAAAAATGGAAAGGAGTAGTAGAGCTTGCCATATGTGTAATTTGTAGTGATTAAATTTTCTATTTTTCTAAATTTTCTTATGACTGCGAGAAACATCTATCCTGTGTTTAGTTTTTCTCCAACATCATTGGGTATTTCAGTGTCAAAGTTCTCATTCTCTTGCATATTTCTTTTATGTAAGCTGTAGTCTATGATAAAATTCTACTATAAGAGCATGGATATATAACTTTCTTAAAAAATGCAAATGCTATTTTTGTGTTACAAGCTTTGCAAAAATATTCTGTATATTAATGTGCAGTTTTAATCATACAAGTGTGTGTATTTTTGTTTGTTTTGTAGACGAAAGAAGTCACCAAGTAAAGTGCTGACTGATTTTGATGATGATGACGATGATGATGAGTTCAGTACGGATGGCGATAGTCTCTGTGAAGCACCTTCAGGAAATAACTTTTCAAAAGATAATGACTCAATAATATAAAATAAGTATTGGCTCTGTGTTTCCTTTGAAAGTACTGGAAGAGTAACTTAAACTATCAAAAAATGGATATTTTAGAAGCCAAATGCCATAAAGGGATGTAAGATCTGGGAATTTGATGTTTCTGTCCATACTGTGCCATTTTCTTATTTAGATATCTTCTGTTTATTATAGAAAAAAGAACTGTGTTGTAAAACAGCTATAAAACATGGTTATATATAACTGCTACTGAAAACACAGGGATAACGTTTTGCCTTGGAATTGTGATTTTGTTAAAATTCTGTTTAAGTAAAGAGCCACTTGAAAGTAATTCAAGTTCAGTTTGTAGTTATTAAAAGCTTTTTCACAAAAATTAAGGAAGACACAGATGATTATTTAATAATTGTAAGTACAGAAGAATGATATATAGATTGTAAATATTTTAAATCTAATCTTTCATTGACTACTTTAGTACTATTTTGTAAAGTTTTAAGTATTATATAAATCAGTTTAATATGTAGAATATCTAAATTTATACTGAATATTATACTTGGGTTTTAACTAAAAATAAAATATACCTTTTTTTGCATTACAGAGCAGATTCACACTTCCTGAGCCAGAAAGTACATTCCGATTTTGAAAACAGTTCCAAGTTATATTATATGTTGTTTAAGATGAAATGTAAATCCTGCCTGTTGACTTTAAAGGGACCATCACATCTGCATGATGAGTGAGGCTTGCCCACAACTTTCTTGCAAATTTTGGTTGGGAAAGCTTTGTCTTTGTAGGAGGTAAGGATGAAAATGAAATCAGAGATTACTTAGCATCTTCATTTCTTGAAGCGGAGTCCAAACTGCCAGGCACAGCACTATAGGCCTGCTTGTTTGAGGGCACCAGGACAGACTTAAAGTCTTTGAGGAGTCCTACTTGTTTCAGTAAAACTAGTTATGGCTTATGAATTAAGTACATGCTTAAATCTGTACATTATTTGATCCCAGAAAGTTGTGCACCTCGCAGGACATTGCGCCCTTGAAACAAAAGCATGCAATCTTATTATTCTAACCTGTTCTTGAGCACCTATTTGGGATATGTTGCAGTGTATGGTCATATATGCATATTTTAACATTTCAGATCAGAGAATTATCTGCATTTTGAGAAATTCATCTGTTAGACAAACTTTGTGGGAAATTTAGAATTTGCATGCTTTTTTTTAAAAAAAAAAATCCATTTTATTACTAAAAATATTTTTGTTGTTTAGATTACACAGACCAGTTTATCACTTTTGCAAATCTAGAATTTTAAGGAAAGGCGCTACTATATAATTTTGTTAATGAACCATAGCTAACTCCTCTGTGATTATAAGTACTTGTCTGCTTTATATAAAGCGGACTACATCTTCACTGAATGGACCAAATACTACGTTACTGTAAAAATACTTTAACCTGGTGCTGCTGGGAGCTTCCATTACTCACATGACGCCAAAAGCTGATAGGCTTGGTTAAGGCAAAAGTCCCGACAATGGAGTATTCGTTTTCATGATTATATGAAATGAAACTCCTGCCTTGCAGATCACAAATACATTCACACATAGCACATCATAATACATTATAATACATAGCACTCTGTTGCCTTCAACTTGACTTTGATGGTTTGAGGTACATGGGAAACAGTATGAACTGCATAGTTGTAATATTCTGTGCCTGAATCTTGTACATCTTTTCAGATAGTTTTGGGTTTACGTATAATCGTATAATTTTTTTGCAGTACTGGTTTTACTGTTTTGTCAACACAGAAACAGCCCATGCTCTAGGAAGATCTGCACTGTGCTGTACTGACAATCATCTTGCCTGTTCTGATTTAATTTTTGTTTCATTTATGTGTTTGTATAGGCTTAACTTCAAACAACTGATTCCAATTTTCAATTCTTTTCCTGCACTCTGTCATGATGTATGTAAATAATTATTATTTCAAACCACTGGGAGAAAATCACTTAATATTGCAGCTACCTCCAGTTACACTAAACTGTAAATGTTAAAAATAAACATTTAAATCTTACAGTTCTACTTTGTATGGTGCATTTAGATTGATGTAAAAATTGAACTTTGTATGGAATATGCATATGTTTAAAATAGAACAGAAAATAATTATCTGGGAAATAATCATGCTGTAGAAGGGTTTCTATGTTTTCTTCTCTTTGGAGAGCTACTTTCATTGTAACTTGGTAGGCAGATGTAATATTTAGAAGACTTCTTTTCTGAACTTAGAATAAATTGGGAGAATGATGCATTGTTGAGGACTGCTAGTAGGAGAGATCCTGGCTGTTAGGCCTTGTCCCTCCCTGCCATATCATCACCATCAGAACGGTCCTTAAGTGTTGTTTTTTCTTGTTTAGACTTGGAAATGTCATTTTCTCTTGTGAATTCTCAAATAATATGACTAGATACTGAAAAGGGCATTTCAACTCATTCACAAAACCATCTGTCACGATTATGCTCTCAGAATTGGATCACACTGGTAATTTTGGCAAGTTTATTTACATTTCTTTTTCAAGAAAGTCAATGTACTATGTTTTATGTTTTGGAAGTTATGCTTTCACACCTCAGTTCTTAAAATAACTCTTTCTTACTTGTCAGATTATTAGTAAAATGCAACTACTGTTATCCATTCACTGCCATACATTTAGTGAATGGTAAGTACTTTAGCCATGATGATAGGGTCTGGATCTCGTTTGCTACAAAAAGCACTGGTAGTAGTTTAAGAAAGTCTTAGTTTAAGGAAGTTTAGTTCATCTCATGGCAGTTTTTGATCAAAACTCATCTTAAATCAGAATCAAATTTAGAAAACTTTGTCTGGCATTTGCACATAGTTTTTAAATAAACCTCTGAATTTTGCAGGATGCGAGGCTCTTGGACTGTAAAAGCAGGCAGTAAGAGAATATGTGAAGAAATGTGAATTAGAAACAATCAGTCTCAACGTTTTTACAAACATCAGAGTTTTTGGTGTATTACAAAAACATCTGTAGAGACTTTCCATTTTCTTTGATACCATAAAATCTTAGAAACAAACAGACCTAAGCCAAATCACTTTTGATACAAGTCATTGCCTGATGCCTGGTACAGTGGATTCTTCTCTTTGAGTATAAGTAACTTTGATGAACATTTTGTCCTCTCTGGAATTAATGGCCTTTAATATCCTACTAAGATTTTGACCACTTGTATATTGTGACAGAAAACTTGAGTAAAAATGTTTCCTCCCATTGAAATTCTCCTCTGCCTAAATATTTGTACTGCACTCTGACAGAGCCTCTTGCTTTTCTAGACCTGCTTTGTAGACAGGAGAATACAAGTTAACTTGTACAAGAGTGTTTTGATGTTTTAAATCAATAACACTTAACAAATGCTCCAGGATTCTTCAATGGCAATTACCTTACAATGTGAAACATAAATGTAAAAGCAAACAAATGAACAAAATCCTTCTGTCCTACACAAACTCTTCACACACTGTCAAATAATCGAGGATATTCTTCATGATTTTAATGCCTTTGACATTGTTTTCATAAAACCATTAAGGTTTTTCAGAGATTCTCTCTCTCTTACTTACAAAGATGTTGTCTTCTTGCTGTCTCCTGTACCTGCTTCCCTATGCCTCACTTGATATAAGGAAAATGCTATAGAAAATGCTAGACAAGTACTTTCTTACATCAACATTGTTGGTTACTTTTTATTGTTCGGTCATCAGGCAGATTTTTGTCCCCTCAGTTTATTTTCCTGGTGATGAGACTATTACTTTTTGATTAACCTGATTTTGATTCTCTGATTTATATTTGTTGGTTTCAATTTCCTTTTGCCTACTTAATGAGTTAAATAATCTGTTCTTATTTATAACTGATTTTTTAAACTATTTCTTGTGCATTCTTCATTTTTACAGCCCAGCTGTATACTTTGCTGAGTAAGCTACACAGTGCAGTAGTTCCAGCTTTTTGGTCTTTTCTGCATCACACAGCATATTTCAGAAATTTAATTTTGATGCTTATTGAAGCTTCCGATCCTGTGAGTGAATCTATGTGTTTCAGCTGCTTAATTTCTACCAACTGCAGTTATCAAGTAACACTGCAAAACATTCAAAAGCTTTGCTGAAAGAGCAACATTCCATAAAAATTGTCAGGGTTTATAACACGCTTAATTTGTTCTTGTTTGCATAAGGGGCTGATTAGGTCATATTCTTAACCTATTGACCCCTCTGTGTTATACTGGGGGGAAATCTGATTATTTCAACTTATTCCTGTGAACTGAGTTATCAAGAAGATGATATAAATAGTCATGTTTTTAATAATATATGGGGTTTTTTTTTTCTTAACATTTTAAGAAAGGAAGCACTTATGAGAATAGAGGGAGTAAAATTCTACGGAAAAGTTCAAGAGTAGTAGTAAATTGGACTTACCTACCTCCATAGAAGTGTGACAGCTCTTTTCAAATTAGCAAGTTAGTACCAGTGAACCTTCTGTGAGGTCAGCAGAGACCATATGCTTTGTGTAAAAGGAAACATCCAATTTTTTCTCTATTTACGACAACAATTTGCTGTTTCATTCAGATTCTGAAGGTTCATGCCATTAGCAGAAAAACAGGCAAGAAAAAAAAAATTGACTTAAATTCCGAAAATTTAAGCTCTCCAAGGTGTGCCAGTGGAAAACTGTAAGAACACTTCTATGTGAGCACAGAGAAGGGACTCAGTACAGGTAACCTGAGTTTTTTTCCATACTGTTTATTACTGTTTCTTCAACAGAAGAAGTTTTTTGAGCAATGATTTATACATTTGAAAACTACGTTCGTTAGTGTCAAGAAGTTACTTTATTTGTTAACATGCATTCTAGTTAGGATGAAACCTACCAACAGTATAATGTGAAGCAAGAGATAAAATAATAGACAGTAAGGAAGATCATTGCAGGATCTAGTTCTGGTCTGTTAGGTTTTGACTGTTCAACCATCCCTCTTAAATAGCTCAATACTGAAAATCACCTAAGCCATCTTAAGCATGCAGATACCTAAATGCATATGGCTGTGCAGTGCAGGTAATTTTGTTTTGCAGAAAAATCTTCAGCTCCTTCAAACCTTGAAATACTCAAGATGCCCGCGAGTATTACTCAATTTACATGCCTCTCTTTGTATCCTATCCTTTTTCCAGGAAGAAATAGTGTGTGTAATTCTTTGCTTTCTCTTGACTTTGGCTTCTGGTTGAAGATGTGATTACTGCTGTGTTTTTCTGGGCAAGATAAAGAAGGTGTTGCTGCTCTTGGAAGTGGAGAGGAGACTGTTGGGACTGAGCCCTGCAA